GTCAATGTGCTGCTAAGAAATGTTGATTTGGTGAGAGACTGTTCGTTAGTGATCTTAGATCTATCTTCAACAACAGAAGTCGTTTCACACACATATTGTTGACTATTAGAAAAGTTTGAATTTGTTGGGGTTAAAAACCTTATCAGTGAAGTTTGTTCCAACTTCAATCTTTTTATTTCAACATAACTAAAACTATTTGCATGTGATGATAATGCACGCTTTCCCATACAGTAGAACCTCGAAAACTCGACCTAATGTGGACCGAAGGGTGGCCGAGTTTGTGAAAATGCCGAGTTATCGGGAATGGGGTTAAAAAAAATAAGTACGAGTATTTCCTCAGAAAATACTGTACTGTACTTGTACAGTATTTACTTGTACAGAATATAACAGAGAATAAACTGCCCAAATACCCTTAAACAAAGGAAAAGTACATCCTTTATGAAGGCATAGAGCCACTACATGAAAATGAAAATTAATGAATACACTGTGTACAGTAATTTACCTGATAAGACAGACCTCAGAAAAATACTTTATGAGAGCTTTTATACTTTTATAAAGCTGTCTATAATGAAAATTAATTAACTAAGGATTTTTTCGCCCTGCCAAGGTGTGGACCAGTTATCCGGAATACTAAGTTATCGAGGGACGAGTTTTCGAGGTTCTACTGTATTACTAAACGAGAAAACTTTACAACAAATGCAGCAAAATGCTTTTGAATCATCATCTTTTATAGTTCCTAACCAGGAATTGAATTCTGGATCCAGTCATTGGAGATTAAACCTTATTTGTTTTTGTGCCATTATAATTTAAGAATGTAGAAAAACACAAACTTGAATAATAATATTAAAAGACAGATGAACCAGATCAGATAGCAATGTGTAAGACTTATTTTGTCACAACACTACATAAAATATTCAAACGACATCCAATCCACATCTGCATATATATTAATTAAAAGTAGTGTTGCCAACTCAAAATTACAGCTAGACATTTTAATAAAAATACCAAAATCATATTGTTTCCATTAGAATTTTTTGATTTTTTTACCTAGATTGTTCACAAATCCACTAAATCTAGTAAAAAAAATTAGCTGAATTGGCAACTCATTAAAAGAAAAAAATGTTCCGTTTTCGCCATTTTGATTTTGGTTTCAGTGTAAAGGCCAGAGTTTTAATAATTATTTTTAATAATTTTTATTTATTATTTATTTAATTTTGCATTAAATTTTGTCTTTTCATAAAATTTTCTTAAATTAAGAATGCAGACAAAATTTATTTATTTTAACCATTAATTACAATTCTTATAATTATTGCAAATCATATCACAAACCACCTTTCTCACTTTTATAGCAAATTTTAATTAAATTAACTAATGTTTTCAGCCATCTTAAAATTGCCTTACTCAGGTTTAACATAATTTCAATTGTCAATTAGAACATAAGATTTGAAACTTCGAGTTTTGCTTGTGTGAGATATGACGACTCTTTTCCTTTGGGAAAATGAAGGGAATAAAGTTAATTCTCCCAATGTCAGGAAAGTTGAGGGACTAATAAGCAGTGGTGATATTCAGCGGGTTCGCACAGGTTCGGCCGAACCCGTTGTTAACATTTTCAAAGTTTTCCGAACCTTGTTAAACACATGTAACATTTCTCAATGGTTTGATTCTTTTAAAAATATTAAAATATACGTATTATACTCTGTAACACTACTAAACTAGAGCCTTCCGATGCACCATTTGAGCGAAAAAAAAATTGTTAAGGAAAAATTTTCTGTTAGCGAACCCTTTGTTAAATATTTCGAATGTCATCACTGCTAATAAGTATGTGGAAAACATGGTACAGAAGGACAAAGACACCTCTTTACCATTTAACTGGTTTATTGTACAAACATGTTTACAATATAATTAAAGTTGTCTTTGATTTTCGTCTTAAGTTCGTAATGGCATTGGTAGAATCCGGAGCAGTGTTCAGTGAATGATCTGGAAAGTTCATTTGATTTCTGTCTGATGTCTAGCACTAATGTAAATCACTCGTGTTTGTCCTGAGTTGGAAAAGTCATCCTTTTGAAAGGCAACTGTTAATTTGTGGAAGGAAAAGGCAACATTGGCAGCAAAATAGCAGATATGAAGTGTGGGAAAAAAGCAAATGACCAGAAGTAATTGGTCAACACCAATTACTTCTGGTCATGGCTATGGAAGAGATGACTCGAGAGCCTTGTGTCCTTGAGACACAGACTTTTATCACTTTCCTGTCCCTCGATCGTTCCCTGGATTGGTTTTGGACCCTCACCCACACTTTATGATGCGGATCTAATAAATTCTCCAACTTACTTACATCAATCAAAGAATCAAAGTTTGCAGGAGAAGTCATCATTTTCTTTTCAAACAATGGAAAATCTGACTCCAACCAAATAACCAATCTTGAGAGCTGCATTGTCTAGACCAGCAGTTGGCAACTGATGGTCCGCTAGAAAATTGGATGGACCGTGGAGTAATTTGGACATTGATCAACTGAAGGTTACATGAAATATTACGAAAGAAATGCAAAATGCTTAGTTGCTTTTTTCACTCATTGGGGGTTTTATTATTTGAATCTAAAACCAAATACGAAGCAACTGTTATCAAAAAATAATGAACAATAAACAATATTGTGAGTGCAATTGTCATCCTATGTGGAAAAGCACCATGAATCCATGAACTTATTTCAAACAAGCAGTAACGAACTTTAGGCTTGCATTAATTTGTTAAAATTAAACAAGGGAGTTTCATATTAATAAAGTAAAATTGAACTTTTATGATCATTATTCTACAGAGTTTGTATCGTTTTAAAAAATTCATGATAGTGGTCCGCGGAATTGAAAACTAAGTTTAGTGGTCTATAAGGTCAGAAAGGTTGCCGACCACTGGTCTAGACTATTTCTCAAGTTTCTATAAAAAATTTTTTTCATTCCTTTTTTTCTCTAATAATTAAAATAGAAAACTATAAAATAATTTAGTGAGTTCCAGGATAATTCTGGAACCTCACACTTGTATTCCTATGATGTCATAGTATTACAAAAATTGGGAATCTTAAAACTTATAGAATTTAAATAAAATAAAATAGATACAGAAATAAACATCAAACAAAATTAACAATTATACGTTAATAAAATATAGAAGTTCAGCACATAGAATCGTAACTACAAATCTCTTTCTTTTGCAACATAACTATAAAAATTGTTTTGTTGTTGTTTCACACAAAACATAATCACATTTATTTTAATTTTTTAGTAATTTAATTAATTTTTTAAAAATTTACCACTTTTTAAATTTTAATTATAAGCAAGTTAACATTGGTTAAACTATTGGATTACCTGTTAATTTTCAAAACTATAACTACAGTATATCTATTACAGGTATGATCAATGCTGCCAGCTTTAAGCCTAAATTTGCCAAAATCAGTGCTATTTGTTACCCAACGACATTTCTGTTAAACTAATTATTAAACTATGTATTGAAGTTGTGGAAATTAATGGAAGAGAGGGGGAAAAATATGCTAACAGTACAGTACTTTCAAGGAAAATCATAACAACAAATGTAAAAAGCTTGTGCCAACCACAAGTCGGCACCAGCATTTTACTGTAAATGTCGGGTAACTATTTATAATTTTTTATGATGTATAGTGATGTTTTAAACATGAAAAACGATTAAATTACAGATTTTTACTGATCTATTTAGCTATTTTGAAGTGAACATTTTAATAAATTATGATTTCAACTTTTAAAAGTTTGCAAACAAATTTTTAATTAGTTATTTTTTATTCTAATTAACAATTCCATCTTTTTATAATCACTGAATTATTATAATTAAAAATTAAACACCATTACATAAAAATAGTTTATTCTGTTATTAAGCCACAACTATAAAATTATATGCCTTCAGAATAGTGAAAAAAGCCATTTCAAAACAAATTCTGGTATATTTTCTTATTAAAGATTGCAGCATTACTTCTTGCCGCCTGCAGATGGCTATGCTTGGTCAGTCATATTCAGCAAATGAAATCAACAAGGCAGCTAAGGAGAAATTCCTTGCCTTTTTGACAATTTTTGACAAATTCCCTGACTTTTTCTGAACTCTAATGAAAATCCCTGACTTTCTAGGTGTGTAGGAACCCTGCATATTAGTTTGCTTTGAAAGTGATATAATTTCAGTCAATTTCAAAATTGAAGAGGATGTATGGAGAAAACTAAACAGCATTCCAAAAAGATCCTTTTGTAAAGGTATATGTAAATTACTAGAGCAGTAAAAATTTATACAGATCAGAAGAATGTATTTTAAAAACTGATATTAAATTGAATCACTTCTATCAAAAACTTTTTTAAAAATAAATTCAGTCTCCAAACTTAGTGGATGCACCTTGTATAAAACAATTAAAAATTGTATAATTTGAAGATTTGTAAACTACAATTAATTAATTAATAAGCAGTTTATCCAATACTATTTGTCTATTACCACAACAACTAGCAGCATATAATTAAAACAAAAAATTCCAGCAATTTAAACTACTGTATTGAGAACAAATTACCTGTTAGGATTGTGTATTATCAGTCACATGTTCAGACTGAATGTGCAAAACCAAGCTTAAAAATGTCTATTTACTGAATGAAAATGATAACTATAATAAAACTAAGATTAGAATAAGTAAAGTTTCATAAGTGTATTTTAAATTATATATTTTGGAACCAGCTAATTTTGGTAATATTAAATGAATGATTATAATATCCACAATTACAATATGTGAAGTTTACAGTATTTCAAAGCATTCCATTTAAAAATTATCATCTCATAATATTAATTAAACATGAAAATATTTCCTTTCTTCTATCTACATATCATTTTGTAATTTAAATACAAAACTTCATTTATAGTTTGTATGCTATTTTTCATAATTCTCCCATTATTTTTATATAAACTATTGTAATATATTAATCTATCTTTTTGTAATAGTTTTCTATTTAACATACTGTTTCTCAATTTCACTGCATTCTTTTTTCTCTATTCTTGTTTCTTCAAAATCCATGCTGGTAGGCAAAGGTTCTTCTGGATATTCTTGAGTTTCTATATTTTTACATTTTGGAGGTATTGGTGATTCTGAATCCATTGATATTTCATTTTCTTGATCTAAAATAAAAATAATTACTATTATTTACAAAATATAATGTATGACGGTGGCTTATCTGGGCTAAACAGCATGCAGACTTGATATAGTTCTGTTACACTTTTGGATGAAACCAAATTTAACCTGCATGGATGGCAAACCTAAGTTAGGCATAGAAAAGAGAATGTCTATAACAGAGATTGTTTAATGCAGACAGTAAAGTTTCTAGTAAGTCAAATGGAGTGGGGATGCATATCCCACATCATTTAACTCACTCACTCCATTATAAAATGTAGTCTGCTACACTTTATAAATGAGTTTGTGAATGCAAAATGCTACAAAAACATTTGCCAAAACACAGTATATAGAGTAATAAGTAATATGAATCATCTTATTTAAAATATCTGATTTAAACTTATTCATCATTTATTAAAATTAGTAATTTTTACCTTCATTAGTTCTTGGATTTATCTGATATTCATCATCGACATAGCCAATGTTTTGTTGATTTTTAGAAGCTGGACTTGAAACATGGCTAAATTTCTGTGATGGACTAGGTGCTGGACTTGGGGACGGACTAGGTGATGGACTTGGTTCCATTTCTCCTGCTGGTGATTCACTCGAATTTATTACAGTAATAGTTTTCTCAGGTACAAGACCTGGAAAACAAATGATGGCTAAGAACCAATGAGAATTTTGGTTAATAGGAATTATGATAAAGTCTTTTTCAAATATATCCACGTGTCGAGTCCATGTTTTAACTTGACTGTGGCGTTTTGCTTGAATCCTATTAAAAAAAATTTTGTTAATTAATTAATTAATTTATTTTAACTGAATACTTTAAACTTTTTAGATTAAAATTTAATAATTTACCTATCTACTTCAAAACCAAGTATTTTAACCATTAGGAAATTACAAATTTGTATAAAGTAAAATTTAAGCATAACTGTATAAAATAAGGTAAATAAAACTGTAATGTGCATTTATTTCTTCTATTATCCAATCAATATGTAAAATTTCTGTAATCTATATTTAAATTTTAGTTAACAAAATTTTAAATTCAGTTGAATTCTATCTAATTTTGTTCAATTTTCTGTGAATGAACTTAATTATTTTATTTATTATAACTGATATTTTTGTCAAAAGATTCTGATTGTGATATTTTATATTTTATGAAAAATAATTATGCAATTTCTGTTTTATTTTCCTAGTATCATTTGTGATTCCTGAAAAGTAATTTACTCTTGAAAGAAGTATTTATATTTAATAATTTAGTTACATTTCATGGCAATCTACCTAAAAAAAAAATTCATCTAGTCAAGAAAGGTTGAAATCTTGATCGTTTTCTTTTGAATATCTGTGAATCAAGAATCTTTCTGTTTAATATATTACATTAAATTATATAATTTTTTGTGACAACAAAAATATAATATTTATTTATCACACTTTTAATAATTTATCATCATTTTTCTCACTGCTTTTGTCTCATGATCAAGACATTTCAAACAAAGCTAAAGTTGTGAAAGTGTTCTCACAAGCCTTCACTTTCATTATGTAATCATAACAAAAGTCTATAAAAAAATATGAAGAGTAATGATTAGTTTTTATTATAGCATTTAATAAGATATTTTAAAGACTAAAATAACTTTTTGTTTCTTGAAATCTTAAAATTATAAATTTGAACTGACTTCTCAAAGTGAATTCATCTCTGAATTCAAATTTAGCCCTAATGATAACTAATTTAATCAATTTCTATTGGATTATCTTTCTCTTGTTAATTTTAATAAAAATATTAATTTAATAAATAATTTAGAAACTATAAAAAAAAAAATGTTCAGAATAACTTTAACCTACAATTTCTGTAAATTGGTAAATGAACTTCTAGTTACCCTATCTGTCTCAATGTTAGATTAAGTTATAATCAGATGAATATAGAAAATGATCTTGAACAACAGTTTTCACTAATCAGCACAACAAAACTTAACCCCAAATGGCTACATAACCAGTCTTAAATCATATATTTATAAATAGGAGTTCAACATTGGCTAAAGTAACTGTAAGTAGAATAAAATAAAATATAAATATGAAGCAAGCAGATTCAAATAATTTCTAAATTATTATTTAAATTATAAAATTATCAAGAGATGACAACAGTCTATAACAAAGTTCACTAATAATTAATTATGATTAAATTTGAATATAGTTCACAATTAAGAATCCAACAATCTCAAAATTCTGAAGAATCATTCAAAGAAAAATAAGATAATCTAGGGGGAAAAAATGCAAAAATGGATGAGATTACATTAAAAGCATCAACTAACACCTGTAATCTAGTTAAAATGAATCAATTTGTTATAAAAATTTATAATAAATTAAGGATGTCTGGTAAAAACAGTTGAAAATGTTTGTTTTATAATAAACTAGTTCATTTTAATAGATTCAAGTGTCAGTTGATTCTTTTAAAGAAATAAAAGAATTCATTGTAGAAGTGATCAAGAAATAAAAATAAAAAAAAAAAAAAAACAGAATGCAAAAGACAGGATATGGAAAATTAAGACTGCATTACACATTGTTGAGATTTATATAAATCTCAACAAAGTGTAATTACCTTTTAGAAAATTAATGCAGAACAAAAGAAAAAATTTTACATATAATTAAAATTTATAAGAAATGTACGCGATAGTCAAAAATCAATTTAAAATAATTTGATATTTTTACGTTGCTAATAAAAATTTTAATACATCACAAGGTTCAATGCCACACCCAAAAACACCTTTAGCAAAATTTTATCTGTATTGTGCCAAGCTGTTCGTGTTCCAATTTTAACTTAAATACTTTTAATTACAGCGAATAATTTTACTGTCGATAGCTAAAAATTAAAAAAATTATCATCGTTTTAAACTTTTTTATTAAAAAGTATTAAAAGATAAGATATTTTCATTTAAGTTCGGAAATGAATTAATAATAAATAATAATGAATAATAAATAAAATGTCTATTACTGACTTCGATACAAAAACTATTATCAATGAAATTAATTTTTTTCTTGTTTTAAAATGTAATACGATTTAGAAAAGACATTATGTAATTGACTGTAATGATAAAAACGAAGCGAGATATTGCTACTTGGCCGGCACATAAAGACAAGGTTTGGAGGAATCGATTTTTATACATTACTATTAAAAACCTATCCGTTGGCTAAGACTAAAAGTAGGCTTAATTCTTACCGGTTTGGTATTTGCATCCTTTTCGTACTTTGCCCAAATAGCTCCATCTTGTAATCCACCGATAGCAGATACCTTACACGAAACTTGGGCACATATCTGGTTGTCAACGTAAGTTTGCCAAGACATATTTTCAGGTTTTAATTCAGAAAGGAATCAATCCAAACGAAACCTCCTCTGTTCACCAACTCGAACTAGACGGCTTCCAGCAACAAAGCGAGAATCGCCGACGGTTAGTCACACTTATATATTCTTCCGCCGACTAATTATATTTTATTAAATCAACTTGTTCGATATAAGTAAACGTCTATTCACTTATATCGAAAATTATTTTATAAATTGTATTAATTCGTCTAACTATAAATGGAAATATTTATTTAAAATGTATTTTTTTCAAATATTGTCAGCGCAATAACACAACCGAATAATTCCCTATTAAAGGCAATGACATCATCNTACAATAGAAAAAAAAGATTTAATACAAAACAACTTTTTTCTTACAAATGTTGCAAGCATCTAGTATCCATCATTAAAAATTTTACTTATTAGAAGACATAATCCATACACCATATAGTATATATTACAAAGAGAAAAAAAATTCTTAAAGAATCCAACAGATCATTCTTATTTATGATTTTGTTTATATATTTCTTCAGAATTAAAAAAATCTCATTGTTCTAATCTGTATAATGGTAACATCTGATGATGGGAGCTATCTTGAAAAATGTTTAATTTGTAAATAAAAACATTCTGTTGGACTACTTAAAAATCTGTCTTTTTGCATAAGTGCTCTATTGTTTAAATTATGGAGTTGATCATGAAGAATAGCAATATGTCTTCTAGTAAACAAATTAATTTTAAATCTTAATGATCTATATCAGGGGTGTCCAACCTTTTTGTTTCTCTGGGCCGCATTGAAAGAAGTCAAGGAGTTTTGGGCCACAAGTATATATAATATATACTTGTGGCCCAATATACAAGTATATTTAAAAATTAACATGTCTAGATTATAATAATAAGTATTAAAACTTTATCAAGAAAAAAGGATATTTTAAAAAATTACTTCTACAGACACTTTCAATTTTTACTTAGAAATAGATAAAGTCATTTATTATAAAAGAGACTAAAGAAAATTTATTTGAAAAACACAAATATTTGTTTTATTTGGGTCTCTAATTAATAAAAAGCGATGAAACACCATTTTAAAGTGCATTTTTATTCCATTAATATAATTATAAATAATATGTAGCCGAAAAAGTAGCCAAAGCGCCAAATGATATTTTTTACGTCAAGCAAAAAAATGTAGCCACATTTGGCCCAATGTAGCCAAATCTTGCAACGTTGGAAGGAATACTAAATAAAG